TATTAGGATTACAGCATTATATGTGATAGGATTCTTTTTCCAATTACAAATTCACCAGATACAAAGCGACTATATATGTAATGAATTGGAATTAAACAATCTCACTCTATTTCATAAAATTCATTGCTCCAAAGTTCAATATTTGAGCTTTTTTCATCACTATCAATACTTATATAATATCAGATTTTCTGGTTTGGCACTGGTTTATTCCATTTAACAAATGCTAATCGATGTATTTTAAGTTTACCAAAATTCTCAAAGTATGTTCAAAATAATACTGTACCTGACCTGGAAATAAATCAGTCATTTCATTATTTTGGATAAACTTTGCCAAAACATTCACATTTTTCAGGTATTGGGTGTCATTGCTGATCTAAACACTTCTGCTGAGATCCTAACCCATCCAAATTGATCAATCATATTTGGCACAACTATTGCACCTCTTGAACTGGTTGATGTTGACTCAGAAATTGTTACAAATTGCAAGTCGTAAGCAATATTATAATATTTGGATAAATATCATCAGGCTCTCCAGGAAGTTGTTTACTACTAACAATTGTTGCATCAACTTTTTGGAAAAATACCTTTCTAAATTGATGCAGCTCAGTGTAATTAAAATTATCATAAGCTGCTAAACTTCCAGAAGTTGATCATAGTTGAATTAATTTTAAAGCTTCAATAAGCTTAACATTATTTGATTGAATGGATATAAGGTTATCAAGTCTCCAATGCCACATTATAATTCATAAGAGTTTAGGTTCAATTTGACGATTACTATTAGGAAAAGAGCCTATTGATATTATTTAATAAATTATTAGCAAGCTAAACGATTAAACAGTTTGCAAAATACCTACCAAGGATACCGTTCATTCTTTCAAAGGAATAACACCAGAAAGAATATAATGAACCATAATCCAGGCAACAATTGGCACAAATGGAGGTTTGGGATTATTCTTTCTGGACCATAATTTTCTTCAATTAATGTTGCAACTTTGAGCAAACATTTGTGGGCTTCGTTCAATATGTCACAGTCAATAATTCGATAAACTAGCAGAGAATAAGCTCTAATGAAATTTCCCAAAATTTGTTGATCTGGTTCAGCGAGCAAATCCCACATCAATGGAATAGCATAAATTAGAACAAACGTTTTCCATTGGTTGGCCGTAAATCTGGAAAATCCTTCTCCAGTTGTGATTTTATTTGGAATACGCCCCAAATCCATAGGTATTTGTATGATTTTTGCTCGCTTTTCCATTTTTTCTAGATCTTGTTTTGTGATCTTACAGACGCCTACAATAATTTACCGGATTTCATGAAATTTACTTAGTAATGTATAGTAAAATTGATGATTTTCGCGCTGCATAAAAGTTTATGAATTTTTAATAAAATTCAGCCAGAATTTTTTTTTTAAAAAACCAATCAATTATAATTATTAAGTATTAAAACAAAAAAGAAAAATTTTTAAAATATAAAAAAATTTTCTCATTGCAATTATCCATTACTTTACAAATAAATATTTCTTTGCATTTTAAAATAGAGTATTTCTGATTACATTTTTAAAAACTATAATCAATTGGCAAAAAAATTTGGCCAAATTTTATTGTGAACTCATAAATTTTTATGCAGCCCAAAAATCATCAATTTTACTACTGCATATATTACTAAGTAAATTTCATGAAATCTGGTAAATTAGTGTAGGGGTCTGTATTGCCATTGATCCATAATTTTTTAATTATTCAATGGGCTATTCCAAGGAACAAACAGTGCATTGGATCTATGACAAGGTATCTTATCGGATTAAAATATGGCAATTGAAGCAGTTCAGACTATCTAACATGGGTCGAGCTCACATGACGTTTTCTTTCCTCCTCAGGTTTACATAGTCTCCAAAGCTCAGCATTCCATCGATGTTCATCCAAATCTCTTTCTACAAACCAGTCAATTATATAATCAAAGCTGCCAAAATTTGACTTATTTCTATTTTCATTTGAAGTTGCTGTTTTATAACACTTATGGTGGCTCACTGATGCTGATATGTGACCGCAGAGCTTCTTCACCACAGGAATGTTGTTTGAACAGCATATTAATGCCAATCGGATATTTTTTTCAGTGGCGGGAATCTCAATCCCATCCCAGAACTCTAATAACTCATCAACTCATCAACAATCGGAGCAAGATAATGGTTAATTTTGTGTAACTTAACCTCACTTGGTCCTGGTAGTAGACTAAGCATCAACATATTTTCTTTTTTAAATCTAATTTCACGTGGTAGGTTACAAATAACCCCATAAATAGCCCACAGCTATATACAGATGACTCAAAAGGCTGAAACCAATCGAGATTAATCTGTAAAAAATGGGATATCTGAAGTATCTGGAAAAGTTTTCCAGATTTTACCATCATAAATATCTGCTAATATACCATTATTTACATCCCGATTGGTCCATTTTCATAGTTGTTGCTTGAATTCTGGTCTCTGGTACAAACTGTTTATCTGTATTTTCAAATTCAGCAATGGAAATAACAATTTGGGGCATCTTTTATTTCCATTACCATGCGGTACTTGCACAGTTAATTCTATTCCGCAAGATTTAACAATATCAGCTATATTATATAATGTATTACAGCTCAGACATACTGCATAAGTCATAGATTGGTTGTCAATTCGTAATAACTTAGCATAGCGGACATCTCTATTTTATCACAATTTTGTCAATCATTTGTCGATCATTTGTCGATCATTTATTTATCTTATCACGTGATATAAATGCTGTTATTTATTAACAGGAAAAATTAAATTTTACAAATAACTTAATTTTAGTTTTAATTTGTTGCACATTAAATTTTATTGTGATTGTATCATTATTAAGTAAATTTTACTAATAGTTACTTTTTAAATTTTAATAAAGAATCCATATATATTTTATTAAATTGGATATATTTATTTGAAATTATAGAATTAATACAATCCTATTTGTTATTTATAATTTGTTTAATTTTTCTAATAACTAATAAAATTCTATTTAATTATATTATAATACTATCATAATCTAACTATGTTTGATATGATATTTCAAACTGATTATCTATATTGCTTTCTATTCTTTCTAATATATTTTCAATATTCTCATCATTATTATCTTCATTCAAATTATTATTATTTTCATCTTCAACTATAGGGTTTCATTATCTTTTAATGGGGTAAATAATCTTTTTTTCAGGCTAATAATATTCTTTTCAATATTTGAAGATAAATAATTAAAACAATACTCACAATTATTCTTTAATAAATCCAAGCATTGTTTATGATAAGCATGACCACATGTCAAAACAATATTATTAGATAAATCTAGATTATTAGATAATAAGCATTTTTCTGCATCACAAAATTTGTTATCAAAAGGTTTAGTTTTTGTATTCCAAGCTAATGGAAGAACTTTTACATCAACATTAACATCAAAAGTTGGAAGACAAAAATTTGGATATTTCTTTTTATTAATTTGTTGTGTATTTCCTATATTATGATAAATATTATCAAAGAGAGATAATAAAAATAATGAAGTCTTTTTTTCTAAATAATCTAATTTAGTATGAGAAATAATTGGATTTCTTGAATTAACAAAACAAAAATTATTAGTTCTTTCAGCATCAATAATTTTTGCTTTTTGGATAATTTGTTGTATAGAATTTGATTCAGCTGTTTGATTTCTAATAGAACTATGGAAATTTTCAACAAAATAATCATTAAAAATTGGCAAATTGTTTTTTAAAATATTAATTATTGGATGATTATTTGAGGTCCAGTAAAATACATCACTTAAAAATATAAGTGGTGCCTTGTTATAATTATGTCTTCTTAGCCTTTAAAATAATATCCAAATTTTTACAACACTTTCTAAATATCCTTCAAAAAATCCACTCCTAAAAAGAACTGCATAAATATCCAAAGTAAGAGGTATAGAATTATCTAATAAATATCTCATCATCCTATATTCTGCATCTTTAGAATTTCCAAAACGCTTTATAACAACATTACAAATCTTTTTCCAACCTTGGAATGTCAAGTTTAATATAAGATTAATTGTTGTTTGTTTTGGTTTTTGTGATAAAATCTTTTTTTCTCCAAATAAATTATAATATAGCATTTCAAAAAAGAAATGATATGTTTGAAATAATGTTTATCTACTATTAAGGAATATATAAAGTGGACCAATTATAGGAATTAAACTTAATATTTCTGAAGGAATTCCAGATTCCGATCCTTTACTATTTCTTAATGTTATAGCTCTTCTAATGTTCACTTGTCCTGGCTACCGTTTAACCAATCCTGAAAATGTTTGCGAAACTTAATTTAATAAAAAAAATGTTTCGCAAACGTTTTTTTAATTATTTTAATAGAAAACGTTGCGAAAACGTTTTTATTAAGTATTTCAAACATTTATTTATTAAATTACGTTTTGCAAACATTTTCAGGATTGGTTAAACGGCCGGTCAAATGGTCGGTTAACCGGTTGGTCAAACGGTCGGTCGGTCAAAGGTTCTTGACCGGTTATGACCTGGCCAATCACAAATTGTAGGAATTATACAATTGCTTAAATAATCTTGTTCATTATTATTTTTAAGCCTTTCAAATACTTTAAATAAAAGATTTGCACATTATTCAATATAATCTTTTGTGCTATGTAAAGGATGTAAAATAACATCTATTAGTTTGCTATTAACCATAGATCTTAATTCCTGATGGTTTTGAATACGGCCATCATAATTATGAACAGTAAGTGATTCCATTCTATTTTCATAAGAATCTTCTATTAAAATTGTTTCCACATTTATTCTGCTCATAGTAACTTTTATTTACTAATTTACTCATAAAGATTTCATTAAAATTTTTAATAATTAATTCAGCAAGCAGGTATTTTCAAAATATTGGGATTTGAATTTAATAAAATAGTTACAAAATGAAAAATATTATGTGTTTGTGTCAACATTGGTTAATTTCGTCAGTGGATATTATAATAATCATCAATATTAAGAAAAAACATTTTTTCAATATTTTGTAAACAGTAATTATTTACAGTTTCTTGATGTTCATCTGCAATTAATGATTTTTGCCGATCTACAGTTTTTCTTGCTACTGAAAATCCTAAATTATTAAGAGTATCAATTGAAGAAGCTGATGTTCCAGAAGTTTGTAAATATTATCCAATATCATCTTTAAGTCCATTAATATATTTGTTATTAATACTGGCTAAAAAAATAGCATAAAGAAACTAATTTTTTCTTATTATTTTCATTTGTTTTATCAGATTTAGCAAAAACCAATTAAATCTTTATCAGCTGCTGCTAACATTTCTTTAAAAGATATTGGATTATAAATAGGTTTTTGATTCAATTGATGTTGATTTTTATATAAAATACCAGACATTTTTTTAATCTTTTCACTTAAACTTACTTCATGTGAGATTGATATTTGTGAAATAATTTCTTGATAATCTAGTTCTAATTGTTTTAATTCATTTCTTAAAGCATAAGTATGAGTCCCAATTTTTGTTATATTATCTTGATTATTTGGTTTAATTGGAATTGGTGCTTGATATCCTTCAGTTTGCAAATATTCTGAATCTTTATCAGTATTTTTTTTACATCTATTACAAATTTTAGCTTTTTCATCTAATCCAAGAATATTGATAAGCCTTTTTGAAATATTTTAATTAAGCTGGAATTTGATGGTTTATGTGATTGATTAAGATAGATTTCATGTTTTGGATGAGAACAAACTTGCAACATTTTTTCTAGTCTATAGTTTTCATTAAGAATAAATTTATTGTAATGAAACATGCAAAGAAATATTCCACGTGAAATTAACTCAATATTTGTCTCAGGAATTGATACTTTATCCTCTCAAAAGTTTGTGTATTATTATTTGACATTTTAATAAATTTAATAAACAAAAAAAAGTAAATAAAAAAATCTAGTAAGATTAGGCTTAATATATGGCAAAAAAATATAAAATAAATAATTTACTCTTTTATTTCAAGATCTAAACAGAAAAATTGGCTCTTTTATTAAAAATCTATTAATAACAAATAATTGATTAAATTCTCTATAAGTAAAAAACCTGTATTATGGGCTGAAACCCTATATTATTTATTTTGTAAATAAAGGAATGTTTATGCAAAGTTTTAAGTTTCGGCCTTGCATATTCAGCTCTGGCCATCAATTTTTGACTGGTGATCGGCCAAAATTTCAAATTATCACATTAATAATATAGTATACAAAAATTAAAAAATTATATTAAAATTATATAATTAGGTTATGTAAAAATTAATAAGATGCCACACTTTTGATTTATATTTACTTTGCTATATACTTTTTTAAAATTTTAATTGTATGAAGAAGACAGGAAATCTTTGAATCTTGTCTGATTAGCATCCATTAATACTTGATGAAAAAACTTTATCAAAGAATCTAGTGCAACATCCAGCAAGTAAAATCTTGCTTGATATTTAAATATCATGTTAATATCCAAGAATCTGCAATATTAACATTTGTGTTGGGATATGCCATTTTCAGGTGCAGAAAATTGTTCAACAGGATCATTGTCCAAATCCATATTGTCTTCTGGAGAAATGTCACCTTCATATTCATACTCATTAATCAGTTCATTGCTTTCCTTATTGGCTTCCAGTTCCCAAAACTGGTCTTGTCTACACCTTTTTTGAGGGATAAAACTGGCAAAATCTGATTCATAATTATTATTAAATGATGTTGACTCTTCTTGTCTGGTCATTTCTTTTGATCTTGATGATCCTTCTATGATCAGACTATGATAGACAGTATGTGCTGGCTTAATCCGATTGTTTCTAGGTAAAAAAGTGACAAATCCGGAAACACTAGATGCTAAATGACACTCTAAATCTAGATGTCTTTTTCTGGTTCTTTCATCAACATATTTGCCATTGCATTCCTTGCAATCACATGATACTTTATTTCTAAGTTTTGTAGACATGATTATGTTTTAGTAAGATCGAAGCGTTCAATGAAAAAATTGAGAATTTCTACGTATGTATTTTATAGTCTATTTATGAATGTCCAAATTGATAAATAAAGAGCTTTTAATATGTACAATTTCATATATTAATCTGGTCTGAATAGACTATTATTGCTAAATGGCATGTGAAGATAGGAAATTGTATGGGTATTGATGAAAAATTAATATCAATCAGGTTTTACTATAGCGAAACCAGAAAATTATCATGTGGTCTATCCATTTTGGTAATTTGCTCAAATGATTCAGTTGCAGGTCAGCACCGCGTGGTGGGTTAAAAATGATATATTTGCGAATTAATTATATTGCAAAGCGAAACATCTTTCTTTTTTACTATATTATAAAAGTCTTTTTTTTTGGTCAAAATTTTCAGTTCTTTCAGTCCTTTATAGTAAGTAAAGTTATAAAATCCTTCTGAGCCCTCTACCAACAAGGCTTCCTAATAGATAAAGAACTGGACTTTTTTATTCGTATTTTAGGGCTCAGAAGCCTCAAAGAGAAACTCAGAGGCTAACCAATACAAAACTTTCTCTTTTTTTTTCAACATAACTTTCAATAAAGTTTTCATAAGGAAGAGTAAGTAACCCTTCGTGTCAGTTAACTTATTAAAAACTGATATATATTTATAAATTTATACAAAAAGCAGCCCAGAATCAGAGGAATCAGAATCAAAATTGGAATCGGAACTAGGTATATTTAGTATATCATATAATTCTGCTTATTGTATTCTAAACATTCTGATTCACTGCTTAATGGTTAATATACAATTGATAGAATTAAACCTGAAAGGTACTCAAATTCTTAATTCTGATTCTAGGCCAAGAAATGACAAGAAAAGAAAAAGGTTAAAAGAACGACGATACCAATATGTATCTGAAATGACCAAAGATTTAAGAGAAGCATTAAGGGTAAACAAAACTTTTGCTATATTTTTTATAAATTTACTGATAATAATATATTTTTAGAGAGATCTATTCTGGAATCTAGCAAGAATGCCTCAGGAAACTCAATTAGATATCGAAAAAACATTTGAGTCTCAAAAGGATCTTGTAGTTAAAACGATTGTGCCAAATTTAATGAAAATATTGGATCTTGACACCTACCTCATAGGAGAAGGTAGGTATCATATACTAGATGATCACTGCCACAAAAGGGACAATCTTCAGGTTAAAAATAAATCAGAAAATGATATAAAGAAAGAAACAGAACAGAAACACCAAAATTCACGATGATTGGAGGTAAATGTTATATTTTACTAATCATCCTAATCATCATTATTTATTTATCAAATAGAAAAGAAAAAAAAGATCAAAGACCATCAACAATTTAAGAAACCTTAATGATCCGTTGATTCAAAAGTTCAGTAATGAAGAATTGCGGCCAATAATTACCAGAAATTTCAGAAAGTGTGGACAGACAAAACATAATCGTCATGCGTAACCTGCGATGGCGCTCATGTACAGTAAGTGAATTTATTGAAATGGGTTACATATAACTGGCATATGCTAATTCATTTTAAAAATAAAGTTGCACAGATTTTTGTACTATGTTGACAGTAATACAACAAAAGGTGACAAAAAGCGTGAACGGGTGTACAAGCCTAGTAAGTATGTTGAAGAAATGGCGCCGAATAGCACGCCTAGTTGGACGAAATCAGGCTATGATTGGCCATTAAAAAATCCAGTTGCCAAGGTGATTAGTAAATTACAAAATAAATAAAATATGTCAGTAAATTTAATAAATATAAATAAATATATCAGTAAATTTAATAAATATATCAGTAAATATAATGCTTATGAGTCAAACAGATTGAAAAGAAATTAGGAACATTAACAGATTTATTTTAAAATGCACAAAAAAATATATTTAAGATGGTAGTGCTGCACAACCTTTTACCTATAACCCACAACCCCCAACCCACAACTTTTTTGGTTCAATTTTCACAATACCTAATTTTTTTATTTTATTTCATCAACTGACAATCATACTGATATATCAAGCTAATCTAGCTGCAGATTACCAGCCAGATTATTTTTGACATTAATTTAAAAATCAACATATATACGTTATTGCAAATTTCACGAGTTGAGCTAACTAATAAATCAGCATCCAATTGCAATAATTAGTTTTCTTTAACAGTCACTGTTATTGAAAGAACAGAATCTCAATGAATATCAAAACAATTTAAATTTGTATGAAAACACCTTACATATTGAAAAAGAAAAACCACTGTAATTGTTGTAGATTCAATAAATCATTCAGATTCTATTTATGCTGAATGGGGTATCTTTAAAAAAAGTATGACCCTTAAGGACACGCTTAGCAGATTCTAAAGCTTAATCACCAAAGATGGTCTGTGACGTTCACGTATTGTGAACAGAATTGAAAGCAGTGTAATGGTCATCATTTTCTATATTATTATTATAAAATAATATTAATGCCATCGTATTACATATTGTTTATATTTAATATGACAATTACCTTTTGATGGCATAGAGGATTGGAAAAATTTCCCAGTTTTTCAAAAATATCATGAGGAAGATGGATTGGCTTACATAAAGTACAAGATATATCATTGCATTTTTTTATTTGTAATAAAATAAAATTAAAATTCAGTATTTAATAGTGTATTATAGATTAATCAAAAATATTTTTTATAGGACCTGAAAATAATAATGGCATATCTTGCAATGAGTTCTTATAAAATTTTGGAATAGATTTTTCTTAGAAAGAATATCAGCGGTAGTTTCAGATATTTTTAATGTTTGATCAATCATTAAAATTGTCTAATTAAAAAAAGACATTAATATAAAGTATTGATTTAAAAATCATAAATATTTTCACTATAAATACTTACATTGAAAATTCTGTAATGGCAAATTCTTAAGCTGGATCATAACAAATAAATTGTTCATTATGTAAATGAAGATTCTCTGTTCGATCTTTAAGAAATTTCTGAATCAAAGTAATTGAATTTTGCTAATTGAGGTGATTTTGTTGCAAAATTTTGGATTTCTTCTAGTGTATTAACTTTTCCAAACAACACTTCCATATCTTTTGACATTGTTTCTCACATTAAAGCTACTCCCTATAAGGCCAAATTTAATATTGACATAATTCTTTTAGCAGGATTTGTTCAATTTTGGTGGGGTGCTGTACAAAGAACAATTAACATGTCAAAATTCCCACAAAGAAATAAACAAATTAAAGAAATTTGGACTGATCCATAGGTCACTTGATGGTTGGGACCACCATGAGGAATTGTTTATGGATAATAAGTAAGGATGGGGAAGTTCCACAAATGAGCGGCTCGAGCACGGTTCTAAACTGAGAACTGAGCCGGAACTGAGAACCGGTTCCGGTTCTCTAGAACTGAACCGTTTGACTCGAACAGTTCGGTTCGGTTTATAATTATATATAATATTATAATGGTCATTTTTTGTTACGCCAATTGGCTGAAATCAAAAATGGATGATATTATTTTTCGGAAATACGTCATAATATAAATATTATATCATAATTACGTCATTGATTTTTTTTAATTTTTTTTTTCAGTTAAATAATAAAAAGACAAATAATATAACCATTTCAATTATTCGTCAAAGATCAAATATATTTTACATTGGTTAGATGCTAAAAGGCAAAAGTTTTCTAATTCTTACGATTATTTTTTAAAACACCATACGAAAAAATTCACCAATAATCAAAGAACTGAAAAATGTTTGAATTAAACGGGAAATTTACGATAATTATAAATATACAAAATAGGAAATTTTGATTGTTCCTTTAAGTTGAAATAATAATTAATCGGTTAAGAAACTTGTATTTGATCCCGTACACTATGAAATTAACATAATCGTCCCTATCAATATGATGATTTGCCTAAAAAAGAATCTGTAATAAATAAATACTGATAATCTAAAAAGATTACCTTAAAAAAATCCACTCTCATCTCGGAATGTCATTAAGTGACGAAGAATTTGTTCCCGACCAAAAAGATTTAGTGCTTGATGATGAAGAGTTTGATGAAGAGTGGGAAGATGTTTTAGACCTTGATGAGACAGCTAGCCAGTTGTCATGTATGAATATAGGATCAGATACTGACGCTTCGGATATAACAACTACGTTAGGAAGTGCTGTATGGCAATACTTTGATAAAAATCCGTCATATGCTCCAGGCTATAATATTTGCAAAATATGTTCCAATAGATACAGAATAACAACGAGCGTTAGTACTTTGCGAAAGCATCTTAATAAACATAGTTTAAGTGTACCTAAGAAAAAATATGTTGTAATTGAAAAAAGAGATCCTTTTGATGAAGAAGAACAACAAATTCACGATAAATACCTTACTGATTGGTTGATCTGTGACCTTCAGCCATTCACGGTTGTTGAAAACCATTATTTTAAAATGTTCATCAATTTTTTCTGCCCGCGATATATTATTCCTGATAGACATAAGGCAAAAGGTAATTTATTTTAAAAAACTTTTTAAAACTCACATAATAACATCTAATTTTCTTTCTATTTAAATAGACTTAATAATCTCTACATTTACAAACCGAAGAGACGCAGTTATCAACGAACTCCATAAAATTGAAGGAAAATTCGCTTTAACGGCAGATATGTGGACGTCTACCATAAATCGGGAGGCGTTTTTAGGACTCACTATACATTATGTGGATTCCAACTGGAAACTCCAGAATTTTCTTCTTGATATCGTCCCTTTTACAGTTAGCCATTCTGGAGCAAATATGGCAAGAGAAATAATGCTAACTTTGGAGGAGTTCAATATTTCCAATAAAATCGTCTCGCTCACAACAGATAATGAATCTGCTATGATAGTTTGCGGGAGAGAGATTGCTTTAGATATGGATGATGGGTTTTCATCCATGATTTTTTCTCACTACCTGTGCGCTGCACACGTCCTAAACTTAGGTGTGAAAGAGGGACTAAAACTAGTTAACGATTCCATTAAAAAGGCTCGTAAACTAATGAATAGCATTAAAAATTCGACCCGTCTATGTGATAATCTTCGCCTCTTGTGCAACTTAAAAGAAATTAAGTACCTTAAACCTATTATTGATGTAGAGACACGCTGGAACTCTACCTATTATATGTTGAGGCGTTTGGAGGTACTTGAACCAGCACTAGTTTTACTAGTAGCTGATAATCGATCAATTCATGCTTTTTACCCAAATGATGACGATTGGATTGCTATCAAAGTAAATAATTTCTATTAAATTTTAGAAAATTTAATATTATTAAAAAAAAAATAATGCACCAATTTTTTTTTTAAAAAAAAATTAATATTACTTATTTTTAAATAGGATACGCTCTTACTTCTTGAACCCCTAGAAAAAGCTACCAAATATTTGTGAGCATCATCTTATCCAACGATGGGTGAGACTCGCTTTATTTTTTCGGGAATCCAGGCACATCTAACGAAAAATATGGAAAATGAGACCTTTACGCAACGTGAAATGGCAACTTTGATACACCGGAAAATAAGACAATATTGGATGATTATGCAATTCTGGACCCTCGAAATAAACTTACAATATTCTCGGATGAGTCAAGACTAAGCGCTCTCCAACATATTCAAGACACATACAATACATATAAAGAATGGTTTTTACCTACGAATACAAAACAATATGCTCCTAATAGTACACGCCAGTATTTTGCACGATTGCAACAAATAAATGAAGAAATTGACCAAACCAGCGATGAAATTTCTCCAGTAATTCCAGCAGTAGAATTCTAAGAATTGAATCGGTATCTTCAACTACCGATTGATGAGGAGACCGATCCTCTAACATGGTGGCAAGCGCATTCTAACGAATTCCCGGTATTATGTAACATTGCGTGAGATTTTCTTTGTATTCAAGCAACAAGTGTTGCATCAGAACAAGCATTTTCGGTAGCTGGAAATACAATCACTAAAACCCGGAATCGTTTATTGCCGGAAACTGCAAGAGTTTGTCTGTGTATGAAAAGTTGGATTAATAATAGCTAGTCAAATAATAATTTTTTTTTACTTAGCCAGTTAGCCTAGCTGTTATTCTGTTTTTTTTTACTTTACTTTACAATGCCACTAACTCGAATTTCGTTATTTTTCACTGATGTCAAAAAAAAAACATTTTAATAAATAAATATATAAAGTTAGCCAAATATATAATAGTAAATAATAAGTGTCTTGTTTTATTTGGCATAAGAAAAAGAGGCGATTACCGAAATTACAATAATTTTTTTTTTTTCAGTTGCGTTTATTTAAACAAAGTGTGCAACTTTAAAAAACCAATTAAATTGGCAATATTTTTAAGGCTATTACTAAATTAGTAACGAATGTAGATGATTGGATCGTCATTAATTATAGATCAAATTTAACTGACTCGAGCCGACTCGAACTGACTCAAACCGATTAGAGCCGTTCCATGAAACTGAGCTCGGAGCCGGTTCCGCCGCTCAGCAGAACCGGAACGGAACCGATGGAACCGTCCCCATCCCTAATAATAAGCAGAAATTGCATTAAAAAATTCTGTTGTATGTCAGATAGCAGTACTGGGTTAATGAAAACTTGTCCATCATAAAATGACTCTTCAATACTTAAGAGAACTTTGCAAATAAAAATAACAGAAGAAGTCAATGATAATTTAATGAAATCGTGATCACATGCAACCAAATTAGCTTTTTTTAGAACCATGGATTTTTTGTTACGAACTCCAGTAGAAGTAGCCACTCCCTCACCAATAGGAACCTTGTATTTGTCATCTGCACAAATTAATGGCAAATTCCCGCAAATAGTAAAACAAACATATACAATAATGAGAATCAGGATGTTCTTTCTGAAGAAGTATTTGAATTTGAAATTTGATATTGAATCAACCAGTATAATGGATTGCACTAGCTGCAATAGGATTAGTAGGAGAAAATTATAATCTAATCCATTCTTCACAGGGAATTTGAATTTCATTAGGAAGTGGAGTAGAAAAACTGACATAGCCAAAGACATATACAAAATATCATGGTGATAATGATCATCAACTGCAAGTATTTTCTAAGTTAAAATTTTAGTAAATTAAATAAAAAATGTGGATTAGAATTGGTAAATATGAAAAATAAGATAAATAAAATTAAATTTATCTTATCTCATTGAAAAAACCAGCCATTTCATCCCAAAATGCATTGAATGTAGATCCTTTAAATCTATTATTAATGTGAAGATCAACTATAATAGACGGGTCCTCTAAGGCTAGCATAATACGCAAATGGTTTTCAATATCTTTACTAATTACATCATTTGTAACTGCTGCATCACCGGTAAGATCATAATAAAGAGTACGTAAAACTGCTGGAGTAACTTGTTTAATGAAAGAATACTATAATTTGATTTTGTTAATTAAAATTGGTATTTTTAATATTACAGCAAATTGCAAAATTGTAAGACCACCCTATGATTTTCAATTTGAAAATTTGATATTTTGAATTTTTCAAGAATTAGTAAAAAAGCAAGTTTAAATACCTATTTTGGTAATAACTTTAACTCCTTAAAATTAATATAGATTTTAAAGTAATTTATTTATATTGAATCATATGATATATTTCTATTTTTATTTAAGGAGTTGAATAAACAGGTTTTTAACTTGATTTTTTACTGGTTTTTGAAAATTCAAAATATCAAATTTTCAAATTAAAAAATCATATGATGGTCTTACAATTTTGCAATCTGCTGTAATGTAAAAATATGAAAATTATAAAAAAATTACCTTATGAAGAGCATTTTTTCACATTTGTCGTGTGTAAAATTTAAGTAAAAGCTTTTATAAGCTAGCCATTATTTGCACTAATTTAGTCTCATCTCAGTCATTAAAACAAGAAGGAACTTTCCAAATATAGTTTAATGTTCCAAGATAGTTGTCTTAGTGATACAAATTGCAATTCTTTAATATATGTATGTAAATTAACATATTCATAATCTTCTTTACTTCTTAAAAATTCTGATAATTCACCATATCTTTCCATATGCATGGTACTATTAATTGTATAGACCTTGAGATCAACAGTTGGATCTCGAGCTGTGATGAATTTCTTGCATCCGCTCATTTGCTATATTAAGATAATGTGAATATTTTTTGACAACTTGAATTAATTCTAATACCTCCTGAATAATTAATTCCCAAACTTTACTGCAAGCCCAAGGTTGTATTACTGAAATTGATAATGATTGGACAAGTTCTTCCAGTTTGGCATGTGACAATTTTTCTTTTTTGTGTTTACCATGATGATAGAATTGGTTATAAGTGGTATTTTGTTTGTATAATGAGAGTTCTTGAAATAAAACTGGAAGATGAAGTGAACAGAAAATTGCAATATTCTGGACATTTTCTGGATGCTGGGTCTGAATACTTCTAGACATTTTCTGGACATTTTCTAGAAAATAAAAATTTTCCAACATCCAGAATATTGCAATATTCTGGACAAATAAACATTTTCTAAATGTTTTTAGCTATAATTTCTGGACATTCTTTTTTTATAGGATTATCCAAATGTGGATTGATATACCAAATTAATGCTGCCAGTCGCTCAATAAATTTTTTGCCTGCAGTTTCATGCAGATTGGCATTCTATTTGACTTTTCTTTATTGCAATAATCATATAATATCATTAAATAGTAAATTATTTTGATTATCTTCTGTTTTTAATAATGGTAAAGAAGGCTGCTATGCAGAGCTTTGCATAATTCGGTTAAATGCATTAAAATAGGCTGCAGCTGCCAAAGTTGAAGTGTTATCAATTGGTAATTCTTCTTCAACTTGTGTTACAAACTTGATATGTGTATATGCAAATGTAGACATTAAAGAAAGTTCGTCTTTTAACCCATCTTGAACAAACATTCAGAACGTGCCATCTTTGCTGATATAAACTTCAACCGGATGCAGATAAAACTTCCCAGTAGCAAGCTGTTCAAAAATATCATTGAAAGTTTTTGAGTTAATATCAACTTTCATTATTTTTGAACTTATCACAATTTTTCATGCTTCTTCTACATGTACAGATATAGTGATGTACTACAAAATGTGGCATTTTTTTATTGGATTTGAAAATAAAAGGTCATAAACCTGGAAATTTATAAGGGAAATAGATCTAAAAATACCTAAAAAATATTCGTGTAAAAAGGTCATTATGGGTAAAAGTAAGGTGGTATTTATGTAATAGTTATTTTTGATTTACATAATAAATGGTAGTTATTTACATAATAGGCAAACAATAACATTTTTAATCAAAAATGTAACTTTATTTTTAAAAAAACTTGTTAACTATCACGTGACTTCAAAATATTAAATGATGATGTTAAACTATTCTGTTCAGACTAAATAGGAGGGGATTATGTTAAACAGAGTATCCACTTGGTCCAGCCTTACCGCAATTCAGAATAAAATTTACTACAATTCAGAATAAAATTTACTACAATTCAGAATAAAATTAACATACTTCAGAATAAAATTTACGGCAATTCAGAATAAAATTAACACAATTCAAAATAAAATTTACTGCAATTTAGAATAGAAAATTTATTGCAATTCTGAATAAAATTAATTTATCGTAATTCAGATTAAAATTTACTGCAATTTATCAAAATTTACTATAATTTAGAATAAATTTACTGCAATTTGGTAAATATTTTAGATTAAAAATACTAAGCAATTCAGACTAAAATTTATACAATTTGGATATTCTAATTGGTGTCAATCAGCCTGCCAATCAATTTATAGCCAATTTGGACTATTTTGATCAGTACCCATTTTCTCTTTCATTTTCATCCCAGGGGAGATCTACCCCAGTATCACCAGAAAATTTTTTCACCCTCACGTGACTTATGTGATACATAAATTTTAATTGGCTTAATATTTGTTTCACATCTTACCATTTTTTTTACTACTATTTTTTTTATATTTTGAAAATATTTACATTTATATACTTTTAAATGTTAGAAAAAAATGTAAAAAATTTGAACAGTTATATTATTATATACTTTATAAATAAAATTTATTATAAACTTAATTGACCAAAGTGAAAAAAACAAAACATTTCGCGTGTTTAAAATATTACAAAATTGTGAATAACTCCAGATAGATTAATTGTATCTTTATGAAAATTGAGATGCAAGTAGTTTCAGCCCCTCTGAACAACTTTCAATTAATAATGGAGGTCAATTACCTTTGTCTAAAGTGCTCAAATTACGCTCTAAAGATAGGAAATAAAAAAAAATAAAATTCCTAGTTAGTGTTGTTATGAAAAATGCGAATAACTTCAGATAGGCTGACTATACCTTTGTGAAAATTGAGATGCAGGTAGTTTTTGATCCTTTTAACAACTTTCAATTAATAATAAATGTTCAATTTTCTTTGACTAAAGTGTTCAAATTACGCTCTAAGTTAGAAAATAAAAATCTGCGTGTTAGTATTGTTATGAAAAATGTAAATAACTCCAGGCAGACTGATTGTACTTTTATGAAAATTGATATACAAGTAGTTTCAGATCCGCTGAACAACTTTCAATTAATAATGAAGGTCGATTTTCTTTGATCAAATTGCTTAAAATACGCTCTAAATTTATGCAACAGAAAAAATAAAATTTGCAAGTTAGTATCATTATGAAAAATGCGAATAACTCATGAAAATTAATATTCAAATAGTTTTAGACCCACTAAATAACTTTTAATTAATAATGAATATCAATTATCTATGACTAAAATGTTTAGAATACACTTTGAAGTTAATAAATAAAAAACAAATATGTATTCTAAGACTTTTATTAAAAAAGTTATAAAAAAGCATATTAAAGTTAATATTGTTAGTTAAAATGTTTAAAAACTGCGAATAGTCAAAGTTTTACAAAGTTTTAATAGTGAAAAAAGAGTGGTGGAAAGGTAGTGGAAAGAGTGAGTGTGGAGGATATTATGAGTAAACAATAGTAAAACTGATCGCGTCACATAAGTCACGTGGGGTGAAAAAATTTTCTGGCGATACTGGGAAAGATCCCAGGGGAGAGTGTAATCACGTGACTTTAAATTGACTATCATAGCGCAAAAATTTTTTTGTGTTATTCAGAACATTCATGTCTAATAAAACATTTGTAAATTACTAAATATTAAAAAAAATATATTATTTTCTTACCTTTTGGAACCTAAAAGTTCATCAGGTATAGTTTTTATTTAGACTTAAATATTATATTTTGGAGAAAATATCAAAAGAAGTTCCAAAAAGGTTGCGAATCGCTTAGTGAAAGTTTAGAATCTCTCTACTTGAAAACATAATATTATTTTTTTAACAAAAAGCATTTTATCATTAATTAATTTAATATATTTGTATTCTATAGGTATGTTTTCACATGTCTTTACAAAAATAATAATAAAATAATACATAATTATTCAAACTAAAGTACTTTTGTTCTTGGGCTTCATATTTTAAATTTTTGCGCCATTGATAGTCTTATTATAAATCACGTGACTACACGCTCCTGGTCTTCCAATTCTCAAAATAGGTCACAAGTTTTCTTCTTCCTTTACTTGTTTAAATAAGCTAGCACCACACTGCATTAAAAAAATTCACTTATTTTACAGTCAATCCATAAAGTTACAATATGACCCAGAAATATATATATAGGGGTCAGGTGATGAAAAAAATTTTTTACTATGAGCTGTACACATTTTTTCAGGGCCAGAATTATGATAATGTCAGTCAGATACTATAAGAGGAAATAAAATTCTGACCGGCATTATCAGAAATTATCTAAAAAAGGAAAGATTTTCATGATTTTTTTAGTTCAAAATACGCAAACTCAAATCTGAGGGTCCTGTTACAATTGTCATTTCTTCTGGAACTTTTCACATTACTTTCTTTCTCATAAAGTCCATTTTGCAGGGAACCATCTTACAGGTATACCTCAAAGAGTCTAATACTTGTGTTAATGTTTAACCCAAAAGCTTAATAGTATAATCCAATGCTATATATGGGATATCATAGACTATAATATTGCAGACTCGCTCTTGCTCCTCCCAATTCTTCGTATCCAATCAGAGCGTAAAAATGCTCTTAATCAAGACTTAATAAAAGTATGTGATGAGCACAATAGCATCAAGCACATATTGCAGGAATACAAATAGCCAATCTAAGTATAAACGCAAACTAACAGAATCAAATTTAACTGAGCATAGAAGGAATGTATACAGGCTGATATTATGCTATAAATGCTGATACAGAATGTTGGAGCATCAGGCACGAAACTGGCAAAGACAATATAGGATTTCACAAACCCAGGTGCAAGTACAGGCCCAGAATATTTTAAATTTGCAACAACAAATATTGGCATTTATTTATTTATTTATTTAATTTTATTTCTTACGAAAGGACGAAATATCATCCAAAATTGGATCCTTTATAAGTTCTATGCCACCAGACCTCATCCTTTGATAAAAAGAAAGGCTATACCTAGGTGAAACTATGCCACCTAGTTTAACCCATACACACTGGGTAAAATAAAGGAATCAACTGGGGCAAGCCCCCTCTAAAACCAAGGGCTTATAGAGTAAAATAAAAAGTAAAAAAATTCTGAATTAGAAAACTAACCATAAATGGGAACTAGCAGACTAATTTAATTTATGTAATAAAGTAAAAATCTCTGTTAAAACCTGAGGATTTCTTTGCCTTCTTCTGAGAATTTGGATTCTTCAACTGGTTTTCATCTTTAGCAACTTTGGTCGAGGATTTCTTATCCTTCTACTTAGGTATATTACTATCCAAACTTTGTCCAGTAACTTATTCAGAGTATTTTTAGCCTTCAGCTTGTGCTTTTTCATCAAGGCAGGAACAGAGTGTTGACACTATTCAGTACTAAGGAAAACTTGTGAAGCATCTACGGCCCTGAGTGTGACCTCCCAATTCTCAAAATTGCCTACAAGCTTCCTCTTTCCTTTACTTGTTTGTATGATTTTAAACATACTAGCACTGCATGACAGTCAGCTTACAAGGTAGCCATTGTCATTTCTCAGAAACAGTATAAGCCAGATCATGCAAAGATATTATTTGGTGAAGAAAATAGCTCCTACAATATGTTTTCCAGTACTTCCAAGAAAACCGTGTCTCAAGTTAGTAGCATAGTTTCTCCAGACTTGCAGGATTATCTAGAATTTCAGAAGAAAATTCTTGAAAGAGTACTAAAGACACCAGCAGATTTACCCTGTGGATATTTCCTAAATATCAAAGTGCACTTTCAAGACCCATGACTATTTGAGAGACTTACCTCCTGCCATAGAAAGTATTGCAGTAAAAAAGGATTAGTCTATCTAGCTCATATATTGCGAAACTTGTTAAGAACTTAGATGGAAAATGATTCCCTGAGAAAGCACAAAGATTA